AGGGGCCTTCCAAAGGTTTGTGGGGAAATGGAGTAAAAGGAGGAGAATCCTTATCATTTCCCTACCCCAAAACTTTGGGCCTGTTTGTATGTCAGAACTCTGTAACCTTACTTTCCCAGCAGGCTGCCAGCCCTGTCTTTCTAACTTGTCTTATTGTCACCCAGTCAAATGTGGTACCCTCCAGCCACATGGGATCACATGATCTCTGTGCATGCTGATCCTTTTGTCTTTCCACCTTTGTTTTGCTTTGCCTGGAGTGCATTCCACTCTTCCTGCTGAAATCCTGTTTGGGCCCTTTAAGCTTCACTGTACCCTCCTTTGGGAAGCGCTCGGTATTCCTAGGCAGAAGTGAATTTTCCTTTGTGCTGCCGTGTCAGTGCCATAATGCAATGCTGTCTGCTTTCATTCAGCAACAATAATGTCCTTAGTTGGCATATACTAGAAACGATCCCAGAGACCATGGATTCAAAGGCTCCCTGGTAGCTAAGAGTGATTCATGAACAAATAATATAAATACATAACAAATGAGCAAGGTACTATGGGAGCTACAAATTCTACCCAGCAACTTAGTTTTGAAGAAAATATTACAATGGAAGTCATTTTCCTCCCACCAGCTCATCCTCCCAGATTGGCAATTTCAGGCGTAATAACCTAATCAAGGAAGAAGGGTTTTGTTAGTGTTTTTAATGTACTATGTGTAGACTACCCAGGTAGATATGTTCATGAGGAAGCTAGAAATACAGGCCTAGAACTCAGAAATGGAAGGTTGAGTTGGATACATCAATTTGGAAGTAGTCATATATATGACTAGATTTCAGTGTATGTAAGCAGAAAAGATGAAGGAGCCCCTGGGGCACCGTCCTTTTCCACACATACCTGTTATTCACTTCCTACCACAAGATTCTATTCTGCTTCCCCTGCAACTTTAGCTGACATCCTTCTCAGCTTAAGAATCATTCTATCTATGGCTGGCGGTCGGACTGTAAATTTCTACAACCCTGTGGAAATCGACATCGCGCTAGCTCAAACAACGGACTAAAAACTCCATGTGACCCAGCAATCCCCCTGCAGGGCATATGCCCTAAAGAAGTAAGAGTCACCACACGGGCACGCCCATGTTCATTGCAACACCCTTTGTAAAAGCAAGAAGATGGAAACGACCCAGCTGTCCATCAGGGGAAGAATGCATAATGGAACATTGGTCCATGTACACAGTGAAATACTACACATCGCTGAAAAACCATGCTGAAGCCACAGAGCGCCTCATGCAGGGGTGGACCTGGAGAACACGAGACTGAGTGAAATTAGCCAATCACCAAAGGACAGATTGTATGAGGCCACTTACTTTAAAGGGTAAATCTACAAGACAGAGACTTTCACACCAAGGGAACAGACACCGAGCTTACCAAGGTGGGTGGACCAAGGAGGGAAACAGTGGGCTAGAGGATGACAGGTGTTAACTTGGGTGAAAAAGAAGCTAGTGATCCACAAGAGGAAGAAGAGAAATCAAAGGAGGGCAGGTAGGGTCAGTTAATGAGGAGCTTGAGAAATACTTAAACTGTTGAATAAAAAACCGATCACCTGAAATGTAAACCTCCACCCAGTTCACAATAAAAAATGTTTTGCTTTGTTTGAAATCGTTGTTGTGGGAAAGCACATAGCTCTCCACGGGAGTCCAGGAGTGCCACAGGTAAACCAGTGTGAAATCACAGCTGCTCTGTAGGAGGGAGATGGGGCAAGTGTGCTTCGTAAAGACGGACAGCCTCGGGAACCGTGAAGCAGTCGACTCTGCCCTGTAGGGTAGCTATGAGTTGAAATCCGGTTACTGATACCCATGTTGTATATGTGTTATTGATACAGCAAAGAGTTATTGAAAACCAGGTTGTGTGTATGAATTTCAGGGGAAATTATCAGGACCATTGATGGTTAATTAGTTTGTTAGGCTGGGTTCTCTAGAGAAGCAAGACCAGTGGCATATGTATATCTACACACACACACTTTTGTCAAGAAGATGGCTCAGACAGCTGTAAAAGCAGGTGAGTCCAGTCCAGTTCCAGTCTACGGGTCTGAGGCTTCTCCTGACTTACGTACCAGTAATGGCTGACAAACTAGGAAGCTGGTGGATGCAGAGGTCTAAGGTCAGCAGGGCAGGTTTCTGGCTGCAGAGTCCGATGAGTCCAAGATTTGCAAATCATATGGCATGCTGCTGTTGACTGCCAGGGTCTGCAGACAATATGACAAGCTGCTACTGGTTTAAGACCAAAGAACTGGAGGTTAATGAGGCAGGTGCAGGATCCAGATCCCCCAAGAAAAAAGCGTGCTTCCCCACAGCATCGAGGAAGTAAGCTGCACCTTCCACTGCGTCTGGGCTCCAGCTAGAGTAAGAGGGCTGCACTCCGCCCTAACCTCCCCACCGCTGCTCGGCTGCTCGCAACAGATTTCATCACGGAATTGTGAAGTCACTGCCAAACGACTGAGAACCCTGGCTCAGCCAAGTTGACACAAAATCTAACTTTCTCAGTGGTTAAGATGTGGATAAAGTCACCCAGGAAAGAGGATGGAAAGTTGCAAAGTGTGAGAGGAGGAAGAGGAGCCAGTGAACAAAAGACTGAGGAAGGAAAGCCAGGAGAGACCAAGACCCAGAAGGAGGGCTGAGAATGAACGGGCTGGGCGACAAGGTGGTGTGCTAGTGATATCTTAAACTGGGTTCCAGTTCTAGGAAGCCATTATGTCCATCATGAGGCCCCTGTCAACCTGTGGGTCATGGCTTAAAGGCCACCTGCTCTGACTGCAGCAGTGACTGGAGTTGAAGAAATGAACACAGCAAACAAATTAGTCTACTTGTGGCAGTTACGTAATTGCGTGTTAACCCAAAGGGGTGGAGTTTACCCGGCCAATCAGGTTGCAACTTGACCTCATTTGGAGATGCTACGGAGATAAATAGATCACTGGAGGCCAGACCCACACTCTCCCTGCGACATTCCTGTTGACAAGCCACATGGAAACCCACGCCAGCATGGAGATGCTTCCACTGCCTCTGGGTCTGCAAGACTTTCTACCCACTGACCTGTGATCTTCCTGCATTCAGCATCATTGCATGACTGCATGAGTCTGAAGAGAAATTTATAGACTTGAATCAGATATATGGGCTGATGTCGGACTTTTGGACTTGATCTGGACTGGGCTGGGATGTTTTCTCAATATTCAATTGCTCTTTGATATAAAGCTCTCTCACACACATATTAGTGTCTCCCTAGGTTTGTCTAGTCAACCCTGACCAACACACTACTCTTAAGATAAGTTAGAAAGGGGGGACAGAAAAGGGCACATTAAGGGAAGATAATCCTTATGGGAAACTTTCTTTTTTAAAGATAGAAGCGGGTCTGGAAGATAATATGTTGGCTGAGGAAAAGGAAATGTGGGTAAGGAGAAATTTAAACTATTGGAGTTATTTAGTGGGGCCATATCCGTTAGGAGAGCAGAGTGGTTGTTGATGAAAAATTGTTTCTGTGGGAGCTGCTTGAGAGTCGGAACCATGTGTGTTAGTCTGGGTAGACTAGAGAAAATGTAGGGAGACTCGTGTGTATAAGAAAGAGCTTTAGATACAAGAACAATTGAATATTGAGAAAACATCCCAGCCCAGTCTGGATCAAGTCCAAAAGTCTGATATTAGCCCATATGTGCAATACTAGTCCATAAATTCCTATTCAGACTCATATAGCCATGCAGTAATGCTGAGTGCAGGAAGATCTCAGGCCAGTGGGTGTAAAGTCTTGTGGATCCAGTGGTAGTAGAAGCATCTCAGCTGGCAGGGGTCTCCACGGCATCAGTGTAGCTTCATCAGGCTTCTCATCAGTATTGTCTCACAGGGAGTGAGCATGTGTCTTGCCTTCAGTGAGCTATTTATTGCCTTAGCCACCTCCATAGGAGGTCATCAAGCTGCGACCTGATTGACAGGCTAGACTCCACCTCTTCACTCTTCATCTCAAATTAACAACAGATTAAGTAACTATACAACCCCCCACACCTAGAGTGCAAGTGGGCATTCAGAAAATGTTGGTGAAAAGGGTTAAATATTTTACTTTTTAGATTTTTCCTGATTGGTCCAATATAAAGGAAACACACACACACACACAACTATTTTTATCCTATAATTACCATCCTGTAATCTATGTAAACATAAGCAATATACCTGCAGCTTTGTGTCCTTTGAAATGAAAGAGAAAATCAAAATGAAAGAGAAACAGTATGCAATCCTGAGGTAGCCGAGATCACAGTTCTTCTGGGCAGAGTATTGAAGTCCATTTCAGCGTCTCGGAACATATTACTTTTAAGGTAATGAGCTTGGTGAGTGTGGTGAGCGGTTCACTGGAGGAGACAGATGTGCACACAGATAGCTCGTTTAAGACAGGTCCTGTCCCTTCTGTAAAGGGGGACATTGTCGTCAGCTCCGTGCCTCTGATTGTCCTCAGCAAATCTTAACAGCTCTGACTGGATTCTGAGTGCGCGTTCACTGGCAGTGCATTCAAAAGAACAGCCTGCTTCAGAAAGGTAAAGTCAGCTCGGCACATTTCAGGGTGCAGCTGGTGAGTGAATCGTTAGGGGCTTTATTCTGCTGTGCAGTTTCAGTGTTGTGTACCTAAAACCCAAAACATATGTGAAGGCACTTCTGCTTCACATTTTCTTCCTACGACCAGTAACTAATATACATATTGATGGTGTCTCGTTTTGTGTTATCCTTCCCAATTTTACCAGTAGACTTTTTGCCTTTTAAAAAATGTATTACTGTCAGTGAGTCATGTTACATAAATATGCGAAGGAAATCAAATTAGTATATATATAGAATTCATTCATGAGACCTCTAAGGGATTGATTTAAATGCTGATTTGTCTTTTCCTGAGTAAAATGACTTCATTTGATGAATTGCTGTCTTGAGAACTTGATTGATTGGAACATTGTTTGGCCATCAAAGTCTTTTCTCTGTTTTGTTTTAACAGTAGGTACCTGGCAGACATCCTAGAACGTTAAAACGGAAAAGACCTGCTTTTAGGGGATAGTGCTAAGGGACACTATGAAATCGTGGAATGATAGCCGGTCAGAGCTCTGTAGCAGTGACCAAGAAGAGGAAGAAGAGATGATTTTTGGTGAAAACGAAGATTTGGAAGAGATGATGGATTTAAGTGACCTGCCTACCTCACTTTTTGCTTGCAGCGTCCATGAAGCAGTGTTTGAGGTGCAAGAGCAGAAGGTAGGCCTCCATCCCACCTTTCCTTTCATCTGGTAGCGTGGGAACCTATGCAGACCAGGGGACAGCGGACAGCTGACACACTTGGTTACTAGTCTTAACAAGTCCGTGCAGCCTGCAAACCTTGCTGCAACTGTTGCTTTTAGTAATGGACTGTGTCTTATAAAGCATATCCATCTACCACAGACATTTTTTTTAAATCATTTTATTAGGGGCTCATACAGAGAATATTTTAAAAAACTAGTTATTTCCCACAAATACCTTGAGAAGCACGGTTTATAGTGAACTCTGCACTAGGTCTTCATTGTATCTGTTCATTTACTCATTCATTTTTGGAGCCTGTAGTTAATGATTTTTATCCTGGCTACCTATTTCTTTGGACTAAATTCACAAAAGGAGGTTTCTATTTTTTTAAAGAGATGATTCCAATTCTTTTATTTCAGCTATCTTCCCTATCAGTATTACTTATGATTATGATTTCATTGCAACAGAATTGCTAGCATTTGTTGTATGACTGTCTGCAACTTGAGTTGGAAAAAATTGTCTTTTTTTAAAGATTGCTCTTTAATTCATTTATTATTTACCTAGAAGAGAGGGGTGTGTGTGTGTTTTCCATTATGCGATTATAAAGTCTATAGGTGTCAGTCCTACAAAATAGGATAGTTCTGCCACCGGTTGTGCGTTTTGCATGTTCCGAGGCTTTTCTCAGAACACCACCCAGGACCCTTAGCTTTCTACCTGTCTGTGCAGGCAGTGGAACCCGATGCAGTTTGACTGAGTGCGGACCTGAGTGCCCACGTGCACTGTGTGCGGCACTGTGCCACTTGCCGCAGGGGATAGAGAATGAATTAAACAGCCTCTGCCTCAGATAGTGCATGGTCTTGTCATGGGGGTGACAACTGTGGTATCCCATGGAAAGAATACGAGTGCCCTTAGAGACATTTGAAGGCACTGTGAGATACCAGGGGGAGGAGTACAGCCAACTGGAATGAAAGCTCCCACGGGGAGGTGGCCTTTAAGAAAAGCTGGACTGGGAAGAAAATGTCAGCCAGAAGGACCAGAATGAGCAACAGAATAGAGTCGGGAGAGTATGAGCCATTTTGTTCTGGAAGGTGGCACGCAGCAAAGTCAAGAGTAATTAGTCTGGAGAGGTGAGTGCAGCGCCACCCTGCAAAGCACTTGAATAGCAAGCTTGGAGGTTGCTCTTCCCAGCAGAGGAGTATAATGCACACTTCACGTTAGCGAGATGCACTGACTGACAGCTCGTGTGGGCCAGAGTGGTGGGAGGTGAGGTGAGAAGCAGGGCTACGATGCTCTTGCAGTGAGCCTGCTAGGAGATTGGCGGTGATGTGGAGCACAGGAGGGAGACTGCAGCTTTGTACCTTTAGAGTTTTTATTTGAAAATGCTATTTTCTTTTCTCTTTTAATTAATAAATCATTTTATTGGGGGCTCTTACAGCTCTTATGTCAAGCTATACATCAATTCTGTCAAACATTTGTACATAGGTTGCCATCATTATTTTCAAAACATTTCCTTTCCGCTTGAGCCCTTGGCATCAGCTTCTCTTTTTTTCCCCTCCCTCCCCACCCACAACTGCTCTTCTCTTTGCCATTTTAGTCATCTTAGAAATCCTGAGGTCATCCTTCCTAGTTTTCTCATACTTTTTAACGACTCTAAATGCTCATGTTATAAATAATTAAATGGACCTTACTATGTATCATTAAAAGTTACATGTACTACTGGTTTATCTTCATATTATATTCATAAGAATTCTTTGAGACTACGCCTATTTCCATTTATTCTTACTAATTGTAACCTAGTTTTTTCTTTCTTTTTTTTTGACTTGTTAGAGGGATCAGTTCTTTTTTTTTTTTAAATCATTTTATTGGGGGCTCTTATAACATTCCATGCATCCATTGTATCAAGCCTATTTGTACATATGTTGCCATCATCATTTCTTTTTTTTTTTTAAATCAATTTATTGGGGCTCATACAATTAATTCATCACAATACATAGATCAATTGTGTAAAGCCCATCTATACATTTGTTGCCCTCATCATTCCCAAAATTCGCTTGCCTCTTGGGTTCCCGGAATCAACTCATTTTCCTTTTTTCCTCTTACTCCTCCCCCCTCCCCCATGCACCCTTGATAATTTATAAATTATTATTATATCTTATGCCATCATCATTTCTAAAACATTTTCTACTTGAGCCTTGGTTTCAGCTCCTCTTTTTTTCCCACCCTCCCACTCTCGTGAATCCTTGATCAATTATATATTGTTATTATTATTTCATATCTTAAACTGTCTGTTTTCTTCCCTTGACCCACATTTCTGTTATTTGTCCCTTTTTTTGGGGGGGGGGGCTTTATATCCAACCTTGTGATGGATTCCCCCTTTCTCGCCTTTCCCCTCCCCAAGCCCCCTCCCCTCATGATATCGCTACTCCCACTGCTATTCCTGAGGGGCTTATCTGTTCTGAATTCCGTGTATCGTGAGTTCTTATCTGTACCAATGTGTTTTCTCCGGTCTAGCCAGGCGTGTAAGGTAGAACGGTCGTGGTAGTGGGGCGGGGTGGTGGGTAGAGGACTGATGTGTGATTCGTTGGTGCTCCGCTGCACCTTGGTTGACTCATCCCTTGGTTCTACTTTGTAGCCTAATTTATATTGGAAATCATCTCAGGAAATCTAGGAACGGTTCAGTGTACTTCTTGTTTATATGTGCAATTCTTAATCATAGTAAATTTTATGTAACAGCTTAAGCAATATTAAAACTGCAAAATGTAAAATGTGGTTTCTATTACCAAATTATACATGGAGCACTAAGTGGATAAAAAACATGACAAAAATCAAAATGTTTTGCTAGTTTGGGTGGGGTTTTACATTTTTTTTCTCTTATGTACTTTATTTTGCTTTTATTTTTCCTATAACCCATTTATGCATGTCATCTATGTAAGTACCACACAAAAAGTAAATCTGATGGATTATAGGCAGATTAGTCTAGATTGTGATTAAACAAGTTTATTTTCAAAGTCTTGTTTTTTCCCTGACCTTAAAAGGTTTTTGTCTTTATTACTAATTGCTGGAGCAAGCTTTTATGTTCTTCTAAGTAGACACTAAGTATCCCAGGTGCCATTTCCATGTAAAGGTGAAATTTCCTTTTCAGCTGCTGGATGTTGTTGCTGTGTTTGCTCAAAGAGTGGGAAGAGGGGACGGTAAGGAGCATCATAAATCCGTAGAGTGAGGAGGCTTCTCTTTGCCGTATTGTTTCTTCAGCAGCCGCGTCACTGGTTCTCCAGATGCTCAGCTTGGCAGTAGCTCCTCTGACGGCTTGTGTTGGTGCTTACTTGTTTGTTATGTTTAACCTGCTTTTCCTTTCGTAAACTAAAGAGAATTTTAAGACCAGCTTCTGATTTGCTCATGTGGAGTTTTCAATCTAAAACTTAGGCTTTGATGTTGTAAGAAATTGGGCTGTTTCTTCCTTCTGCTTTGCATAAGTTTATGTACCTGGGGGGAATCAGTAATGTTCATTGACAACAGTGTGCTAGATAGGACACATTATAAAGAAGTGGTAGTGACGTGGAGCATGGGAGGGAGTCTCTTTAGAAAGTACCTGCCCTTTGTGTAGAAAATGGCTTCTCGATTGTGTTACACAGGGTTCTCTAGAGAGATAAAACCAAATTGCTGATAATATATTTATTTATAAAGATAATTAGATATATAACAAGAAATGAACTGTTAAATCATATACAGATAAATATATAATACAAGAAAGA